GTTCTATACAATGGAAGGAGACTGCGACCACAAAAATAAAGACCACACCATCTTGGTCTTCATACTTTCAATTAAAATAGGTAATGTTTCGAGATCATCAGTAGGTCGTTTATATATAAAGTGCACTCACCCTAATCCGTTTAAGGGGATAATGGGACTGATGATTGAATTTTTCCCAAAATTATATTAGTAGATCTTACTTTTGCGTTGGATTTCACATAGCCTTGCTTTCCCAAAAAGTATTTACATCCAGGCTGAAGTGGACTGCAGTTTAGACATTGCTTAGGTCTTAACAACACCCTCAACGATACTCGAACCATGACAATTGCAGAGTTTTATCTTGACACGTTAACCACTACGCTACATTGCTACAAGTCTCTTTGATTCACAGGGCAATGGAACTGTAAGGTCTGTCATAGTGTTGTGGAAAAAATTTAAGTATCAGTTCTCCCTTTCGAATTAGATTATGAGCAGGTATAAAATAGACAGATTGATTAGAATATGCTTCATATTACGATACATTTTCTTGGCTCCAGAAATCAATTAGTTGTGTATTCTCTCTTCTGTGTTAGTACTACTTTATATAATGATATTAATGATAAATCTGACAAATCTAATAAGAGCATACACCTGAGTTCACTGATAAATTGGACATTAATTTCAATGATTTTGTATAGCTCTGTATAAATATTGCACTAGGACCACAACTAAAGCTTTATTTTTAAAACTAGCCAATTTACCAGAAATGAAAATAATTGCAGCCTATTCTCTTTAGATTCCTGTCTAAAGTTGAGACTCTTATTGCTAAGAACACTCTTTACTATCATACCTTCCAAAAAGTAGCAGTAGGATCAAAATTATTACTTCACTAATATCCACCCATTCATGGCAGATGTGATCACAGCTATTTTATATGTATTAAATGACTTTATATCCATCCCCAAATTATCCCTTATTGGAAAGAAAGTCAAACAATGGATAATTTTGCATAGCACCTCATATTGATGGGTTACAGGGCCTACATTGATTAAGTAATCTGTTGTGTAATATTATGCAACCTTGACTACATCTATTTATTCTATTAAGGTCTATCTGCCAAAGCTGTGTTCTTTAAATGAATATTTTTAAAATTATATCTTTAATAGAAATAATAATACCAACCAACGAACACATGAATGGGTGACTAGAACCTTAGGATTAGATGCGACTCTCAACTTGAGAGACAAGATGAGTGTATATTACGCGATTCATGAGTGGAAAAGCAAAGCGATGTATTTTCACACCGATGGTTCTTAATTAAGCAAGGCGCAGAGCCCAAAAGAATGAGGCACAATATGGGTGGGAATAAGAAAGAAGATAACTGGATCATGGGTCTAAAGCAAGGGAGAGAAACATTCCTAGGCATGGGAATCACCGGCTTTAAATCCTCGAATATGAAATAAACGGTAACTGGAATCGAAGGCTCATAAGCAGTCAGGTTTCTGATAGCCAAACAGTGATTTTCATGTGTAGCATGGACCAATTGTTAAGCCAATTGGAAGTATGGGCTAAATGAAAATCAAAATACCTACAAACGGCCTCTGAAACCGGTGGTTAAGGTGATTACCCTTCCCTAAATCCACTTGAAGCGACGCGCACACTTAGGCAACATCAAAGGAAACGACAGCACCGAATGATGTGAATAGATAAATGGACCATACAAAGTGAGGTTGGGAGAAAGCGATTTTGCTCTAGAGGCTGGGATAAAACTAGGGGTGAAGAGTGATGGCACAATGGTTTACGGAAACTTGGTCAAGGGGATCGACTTCACTTGTCACTGAGTAGTTGTACCTCTGTGCTCACTAACGATGCCGGCGGTAGGCCTGAGAATGTGCCAAGTCAATGGTCAGATGCTGGATACCACGAATACTAGAGCAGAGGACGTTAGACTAAGTACTTTCCACAATTTCTCCCCTGTCTCTGGACAAGTTGCGGAAACGGGATCAAACCAACACTATGGCTAAAGGAGTCTGTGATCAAGTAGAAGACCGCACCTCTTGGTCTTCATATCTACGAAACAATAATGCAGTTTGACATTATATTATCTTTCATTATTTCTACTAAGTTGGATTATTTTAATTGCCTGAAT